TGTCAGTCTGACTTCTGTTCTACACTCTGTTCTCTGTACATTTGTTTCCATTTTAACTGCCTCATTTCAAATATACCTGGGATTTTCTAGAGGGAAAATCCTGGAGTTTTTCCTTAAGTTGCGAAAATAGACAAAAAAAATAAAAAAAATCCTATTTATTTTTCTAATAATTTGATGTTGATGAACAAATAAATGTCCAACTTCAGTCCATGAAAATACTAACTTTAAATAATCACTGTCATACTTCCTGTTTCCACTCATTCTCACTGTACATGTAACAAATGCATCATTTTTTAGTGACATGGCCCTGCACCTGCTTTTTCTTTGGCGCCCCCCAGAGGTGGTGTGCCTCACTACGGAAAAAAAACAAACAAACGAGAAACAAATGACAGTAAGATTAATTTATTTTGAACGTGTATTAAATAACATATGAATGTGCAGCTATAATAAATGGAAAATACACACATTTTGAGTAAAGTACACGAACACACACACATACACGCACGCACAGATAAAACCCACACTGGTACGCTCAGGATGATGAGGGATTCTGGGTAAAATTTCATGCACAGCAGACGACGGCAGGACTGAAGGCAAATAAGGCCACGCTACAGAGTTGGATCACGCTGCTGACGGACGCTTTCATAAAGATTGATTAAAAGTGTGACGGCAGCGGCTACGCCAGGGGGCGGGGGGGAGGTGTCCGTGGAGGGTGTGGCCGGAAGGAAGCTGTCGTGCTCTCTCACATGCATCCAGTCATTTCTGAGTGAATCGGAGGTGAAGTCATGACACATGCATGGGAGTAGTGCTGTTTGTTTTGTTTTTTTTTAAACAAGCAATTTCTCATCTGCAGCTCTATGTGTGGTCTATCTCTCTCTATCTCTCTCTCTTTCTCACACACACAAACACATATATTCAACACACATTTTTTTTAAATTATCTTCTACTACGTACACAGCAGGGTGTTCTATCTGATTGCACTTTAGTGTCATTACACGTTTAACGGCAACAGTTACATTCAACTGAAGAATCTTCATGGACCACTAGGGGGCAGCATTGGAAGAGATGGACGATTTACTTCTGCTCCCGCCTCCACACGATGACCATGCCGGTGGAATCGGCCGACGCCAGTAAACTCTCGTCGCAGTTGAAGCTGACGTCCAGCACCGGACCGCCGTGGCCCTGCAGCTTGTTCACGATGGCCTTGGTGTTACGCTCCACGTCAAAGAAGTAGACGCAGGCGTCCTCGCTGCCGGTCACTGGATTGGAAATAAAGTTGTGGAGTGTCAAGATAAGAACGTTCTCTTCAGTAGAAATTAGAACTGGGCAACGATTCAAAGTATTAACCCTCGATTGACTGCGTGATTTTCTGTAATCGATCGCGTTTAAATTTAAAGGTAAAGAATTTAAGTAGAGAATCGAACACTTTGTGACAAGTTCTGCTACGAACAAAAGTGCAAAAACATTTGGTTTGCAGACACTCTAAACCAAAAAAGGTGATTTTAAACAGTGTGTATTGCTCTTAGGTGATACTTCACACTCGAAGTACTCCTGTGATAAGTGAAGTAAACTGTTACAAACATACAACGGTGGTTCTATTTACTCGTCTTTTGATAAATGAAGTAAACTGTTACAAACAACGGTGGTTCTATTTACTCGTCTTTGGAACCGATTTAAAATGAAAGTGTTAATAAAGTTCTGTACCTTTTCTCAAAGTTTCTGTCCTCCTGCTCCGGTTCATGTGAGAGCTGCAGCAGTCTTAGCCCCGCCCCAAGAGCTCTCATTGGTTGACATGCATAACCACGGCCGTCGCAAGTCAATCCTGATAAACGCTTTACGCACGTTCCGATCCCTCAAACAACGGTCGAAAATTAAATATCATTTTGAAAAATGATATTTGAATTTCATCCGTAACTAAACCAGACGTTCCTGAATTTTGTCTGTATTGTTTTTTGTTTTTTCTTTTGCACCAGAGACCGATTTTATGAACATCGACAGAAGTTTCGTGTGTGAGTGGAGGTCAAGCGCATAACCGGGTTCTTTTAGTCACATGACGGCAACATTACTGCTGTAAAAACAATGACGATATACTGTTGTGACATAATAACGTTCCTGTGACCGTGGACAAACATCTTTCACATTGAAATCATCCGTTCCTTCCTCTTCTTTGTACATTTTCCTTTTCCATGCACTTCCAACAAAGCTGTCGGGTCAGAGCACAGTGGGAGGACAATAAGTGAAAAACGCTCCACGTCGTCGTGACACAGCGTCCGCTCCTTCGTTCATTGTTGACTACAACACATTACCCAGCGTGAAGTCAACGGTTTTCTCAGTCAGCGACGGTCGGGTTAGGCAACAAATGTTACACGTACGGTCGGGTTAGGCAACAAATGTAACACGAAACACGTACTCTGACCTCAGTCTGTTACAACAGGTGAATGTCTTTCTAACTGTAACTGTGTTTTCATCAAGAAACGCTGCAGGTCATTGTGAAAGTCTATTACAGCAGGATTTCACAGAAACGTTCGTGTTTGACCAGAGTTTTTACCACAGTCTGTGGTGAAATCCTCGGTTCAAATACCACACTGGGACTTACCCACACAGGCGCCCTGTCTGAACGACATGAGGGGGCAGAAGATGCTGTGGACCAGCTGGGAGCCGTGCTGTATGGGGAAGCTCCTCTTCAGCTGCAGCGCGCCCTCGTTGTCCACCACCCTGGAAACGGAGGCATGACAAACGACAAAGTCGGATCGATGGCAAAGAGGCAAAAAAAAAAACAAACAAAAAACCCTCCTCTTTTTAATTAACATTGACTTTGCCCTCTCAGACTGACCGGTACAACAGCAGCTTATTGACGCAGGCGTTGACTAGCAGGGAGGGGTCTCTGGCCTCGCGGCTGATCCAGGAGCGGGCGGATATGCTGCAGATGGAGCTGCCTTCGTTCACCACCAGACGCTTGGCTTTGGTCAGCTTCCCTGAGACGGACACAGGCAGAAAAATAAAAAAAAGTATGGTCTACTTCCTCCTCTCATAAACCTGGACACAGGTCTGGGATCACCTCTTCTTCTTCTTCTTCTTCTTCTATTTTCATCACATTATCAGTCTAAGGTTTTGGCAGAGGTTGAATGTAATCCATTAGAGGATTTACTTCATTTCTCAAAACACTTTCCAATAATTACTAGGGGGCGGGACATGCTTAAAAAAATCATCACATTAATAAGAGGCTTTTAATTAATTCATTAATCAATTAATCAGCATTAATGTCATTGTTAATCACAGGGCAAAGCTTTGAATTTTCCTTGACGAAATCGAACCAGTGAATATTCAGACAGGTTAAAGTTAAACAATAAAAACGTTGCCTGACTTTTTCACTTTTACGTTTACTACACGGTCGACTAAAGTACAAATTACAGCTACTATATTTCAACTGCAAACAACGCAGGACTAAAAGTCTCCAAAAAAAAAAAACAACCCACACAGGCGGCCACAGGAGGCGCCATTAAGTATGTGGTTCCTCAGGTGCTTGAACCCAGCACCTTTTACATGTAAGGCAGACGTGATAACCGCTACACTGTGCCCACCTGTGGCCATGTCAAACAGGAAGGAGAAGATGCTCCCCCGGTCGTCTCCGGCCCACAGGATCTTGCCCGGAGCGTCGAAGGACAGAGACAGGACTCGACCGGTCAGCTTACTGGAGCCGCCCTTCACCTTCTTCCCCGTGGAGATGTTCACCACCTGCAGGTGGTGCTTGCTGTTCCCCACCTGCCAACAAGAACTCACATTGAGGTTTTTCATCTTTAAAGTCAAAAAGGTTTAACATAAATGTTGTAAAAGCTGATGTGTGAATTCATACTTTGAACTTTTAACGTAAACACCACGATTTTAACAATTAAACTTTAAATTGTTACACTTTAATCTAACATTATTTTTAGGGGGTGTAAGAAAATATCGATAAACAGATATTGCGATAATTCCTTTCACAACACCGTATCGATATTCTATTGCTATTGATATTATTTTGCTTTTATTTCTTCTGTATGATTACAAATGTAAATCGATAGATTAAAATGCTTTAAAAAAAACCTCAAAGATCAAATTGCTTAAAAAAAAACCTCAATATATCATCATGCCTATAGTATCGCAATATATATCGTATTGTTGCCCCTGTATCGCGATACCTATGGTATTGCCAGATTCTCGACCCTACTGTGGTGTTTGTTTTGACTTCCAGTGGCAGGCGGTCCACTGACGGTCCACTGACGGTCCACTGACGGTCCTGAACCCAATATTTCTTCATCATTTACAGATGTTCTGTATCCTCGACTCACCACCGTCAGGTTGTTGTTCATCGGCTGGAAGGTGCAGCACAGCAGCTCACTGGATTCCGGGTCTCTGACCTCCCGGATGCAACGTCCGTCCTCCGTGTTCCAGATGCGCAGCGTCCCGTCCAGCGACGTTGACACGATGATGTCGTTGCTCAGAGACCACGCGAAGTCCGTGACGGGCCCCGCGTGGCCTTTCAGTGTCACCTTTACAGTGGGCGGAGAAGGAGACAGCGTCATGATGGACAAGGAGCCGTCCAGAGAGCAGCAGGCCAGCAGGTGTTTGTCATCGTTGGCAAACTGGAGCCGTGGGACTGGAGGAAGGAGGAGGGACGGAGGACGAGAGTAGAGATGAGTAAAGATGATGACATTTTTTGTTTTGTTTTTTTATTTCATTTCAAAACATTTTAATGAACTCACCAGCAGAGTCCACATGTTGGTCAAATATGTGGTGCATGCCGGCGAAAGCATAATTTTCACTCAGAGTCGTGTCTCCAGCCATGGCACGACTGGCCTCGGCCACCGAGGTGGGCACCAGGCTGCCTGGAGGTCTGCAGCCACACCGTCAGGACAGAACATCGGGTTAATGAGACCGTTTACATTTACATTAATTTAATTAAAGTCAGTTAAGGTTCTCCTGGTACCTCTCATCGTAGACGGCTCTGTTCATCTGAGCCTGCAGCTGGTAGGAGCCCCTGCTGACGGACCGCCGGTGACCACGGGCCCCCTGGGCGCGAGGGTCCTCCTCGAAGTCCTGCGAAACAGAAGTGATGAGAGGAGAGAGTTGTGACCAGACAATCAACATTTTAAATTAAGAATTCAGACCCTCTCTACAAACTGGATTATAAACTGGATCTGTCCAATAATCTGACTGACTCAATTACAAGTAAAACTACATGGAATACAATGGTTTTTGATTAATGATCCTTAACAAAAAAAGACACTATAACCAGACCATTTGATTGGTTCTTACAGGATTGTTATTTTTATCCTGAAGCTACATTTTTATATTTTTTTTTTTGTGTTTTTGTTTCTGTGGTTCTGACCTCCATGCGGTCCAGAGTGGTGCGGGAGCTGCGCACACTGCTGGCCCTGAAGCTGCTCTGCTCAGACAGTGGTCCGTAGCGCTGCCCCAGCAGCTGACTGCGCAGCCTCAGGTACTGTTTGCGCAGCCCTGGCTCGAAGCCACACTTGGCGTTCTCTCTGAGCAGCTGGCTGCGTCGGCGGATGTACTGAGTTCGGAACTGTGGGAATGTAGGCGTGCGGTAAGCATTGTACCTGCGGAAGGACAGGAAGTGACACGGAGCACACGGTTATTCGTGCAATTACACGACTGAGCGACTTCCACATCAGACTCCGTCGTACCTCGCATCCACTGCCAAAACCTGCTGCCAAACTGCTGCCATTCCACAAGAACTCTGGGTAAAAGTGAAGCCTCTGCCAGGGCAGGTGCCTGTCAAAATACAGACCACACGTCAAACTTATTTTAAACCTGAGAAAAATATTATACCATATATAGTGCTACATATAATAATTTGTATATATTTAAATATATATAATACATAACAAATATGGTTAAGTAAAATAATTAATGTTATTTAACTTTTGTAAGTTCCCTAACTATTGGCATACATTGATGTACACACTCCAGCCCTGAAGGTGGCAGTAATGCCCCAAACAAAATGACTACAATTAGTTTGAAAGAAACAGAATATGATTATTGTGTGATGTTCGTGCACACACACATATATATATATATAGTCGGTTGTATTTCACTACGACAATACAAAAAAAATTCCAACGAAACGGTTGCGGGTTGACTGTATTTAACTACGACAATACAACAAATTCCAACGAAACGGTTGCGGGTTGAAGCCCTGGCCTGGTCAATAACTGTTTCCCATTCATGACGTCAGAGCGTTTCTACTTCACCTGTGCTGATTGTGCGTGTTATTTAGAAAAATTACACGTTAGTGAGTAAAGTTCATTCATAAATAAATAATGAAGGTAGAATGTAAATATTCCCTCCTCATCTTTCTTCTTAACATTTCATCACGAACGGTTACGTAAATAACACCGTGTTCCGGTTCGGTTTGTCAACTGAAAAACATCGACGTTTATGGTTGAATATATTAAGAAAACAACCGTGTTGATAAATAGATGTGAGACCATAAAAAAGTGCAGAAATCCCGAACCTCTCTCCTCCCTGCTAAGGGAACACGTTAGCATGTTAGCTCCACAACATCAGCATCACGCTCGCGATAAAACATCGGTTTCGAGCTCGTTTATTATCGTGTATCGTTGGGGCACCTGTGGGCGTTTACTGCACCGTGTGACGGTGACGGTTTGGAATTCTGACAAGAAATGAGGAAGAAACGCGCGTCAAATTGCCTCACCTTCCTTAGCTTCTCTCCATCGCTGCGTGTTTTTTCCCTGTCACGTCACGTGACTCGGCGTGACAAGCTCACCGCCTGGTGGAGCAACACGACCGTGATCCACCAGAGACGAGGCGTTGGATTATTCATCGAGAATATTCCCTTCACGGTGCTTTAGTTTTATTCTGGGATTTGGGAATATAATATTTTTTACATAAACATTTGAGAAATATACGTTGTTGTCTCACACGTCACTCCAAAAAACTGTGTCGAGCTAACGTTTAACTGCCATGATTAAGAAATTAAAATAAATTCAAACTACGTGAATAAATGTCCGTGGTGGTAAATTGAGGATTTCAACAAAAACTTTAACATCAAAATAGATATATTTTTAAAAATAATCTTACAACTAAATAAAATCCACACAGATCTATTGAACCACTTTGACCGTTTGTTTTACTACTGAATAAAATCCACACTTTAACCACTTTGACCGTTTGTTGATGCTAGCAGGTATAGTAGTATGCAGGTATGCTAGTATGACGTTTTGAGTACTGCAGTACTGCCACAGATGTATAAAAAAGTACAAAATCAAATTTTTCTAACTTTCCTTCAGTTACCACTGGGATTTGACCTGGTGACCTTTCTGCTGTTAGGCAGGAGTACTAACCGCTGCTCCACTGTTTGTCCCAAAAACCCTGTTATAAATTTATAAACCTTTCAAAAAAAGTATTGTACAAGTCTATACTTGATACTTTGAGACAACAAAATCAGATTTATTGGCAGATTTATCAGCCGTTTTTATTTTGTTTTTACACTGCTGTAAAGTTTTTACAACAATGTCACATCTATTTTACTTCTTTAACTGCTTATTTGGATTTTACACTCCAAACTGATACAGTGAGTCGAATTCATCCCAACACGTGTTGTCCGTGACCCATCGACCACAAAGAGCTGAAGTAAAATGTGGCCGATCGTCAAACTGTACTTTGGTGAAAACGCCGTTGTGTCGGTGACAAAAGGTCAACGTACAGTTTCGGTCCGTTCACAAAGGCGGCATTATCAGGCCAGCTGTGAGGTTTTGCGTGCTTCAGCAGAGACGCGTCGAGCCGTGGGCCGAGCTGCACAGCTGACGCGGCTCTTTGCCTTTTCACTCTGCTGTTTCTGGAAGAGGCCCCAGTCACGGAGCCATTCTCCAACGGGCGCCATAAATGACCGGGGTGAACGCAACATTAGGCACTGATTCCCCCCCAAAAAAACAGCACAGACTCTGGAGCCGAGCCAAAATGCCAGGAACGAAAGGTGAGAAACGAAATGTTTTCTTTTTATTTTGAATTTATCTGAAAAACAAGAACATAAATTATTTGAAAAAAAAAAACTTGTTTTGTTTCTGCTCTTTGTAGGTAATAAGTCGGACAAGAAGTCAACTACCAAGGTAGGAATTTACTGTATTACAGAGTTGAAATAGTTGAAATTTCTTCAGCCTGGGAATTTGTGAAATGTGTTGACTTTCATGTGTTGAATTTCCGTAGCAACCTCAGAGTCCTAAAGAACAGCCGAAGAAAGCTGATCAGAAAGGAGATGATAACAAGAAGCAAGGAGGTAAGAATTAAAAATAAAAATCATCTTTAACCTCAAATGTTTGGTTATGGGTAAAAAAAATAGGGATGTCCAAAAATATTGATTGGCCGATAATTTTGCTATTATCGTAAGACGTTAGCATAATCATGTAATATCTGTAGGAATAGTTATCCGTTTTTTTTATCCGATAATGATTCACAAAAAACCCGATAACACAATGCCTGGGTTTCACCAAAGAACGTGTGCCCTAAAAATAGTTATGAGGAAAAACGGCTGTATATGAAAGTGAAAGTCACTAGATGGCAGCATTGCAGCTCGTTTTATTGATGTATTTTAATATTCAGGGGATCATATGCCGAATGGTTTGTAGAGATAAAAACTATTTTAATATTCAGGGGATCGTATGATATATGATAGATGATGGTTTGTAGAGATAAAAAAATAAATATTACCAGGCCCTTAGTAGTATATCAATTTGTGGGAGGGGAAACTTCTGTCCCCCAGGGGGCGGCATGACAGAAAGTAACTGAGAACCACTGCTTTAACCCCATCACCTTACTGAGCAGACGGCTCTTAACTTCCTCAACCACCAGGACACCACTGCCCATCTATATATCGGAATCAGAAATTAACTGTTTGGACGATATTAACGTATCGGATATTGGCAAAAAGTTAAAATGCGACATCCCTGGTAAAAAGCAAAGAGCAACGCAGTTGCTGTTGTGTATGTGTGTGTGTGTGTGTCGACATCCTTGTTAAAAACCAAAGTGCAGCACAGTCGCTGTCGTGTATGTGTGTGTGTGTGTGCGTGTGTGTGTGTGTTCCTAGTGAAGGTATCTGTGTGTGTCTCCCCTTGCAGGACAGCCGAAGGGAGAGAAGCAGTAACTTCCAGGCGTTTGTGAAGATGGCTCTGGAGACGCTGCTGGGGTCCTGTCGTCGAAAACATGGGGGTCCTCAGGGCAGACAGTGCTGAGCACACGCCCCCCCGACCCCCCCCCACCTCATCCATCAACATATGTGGCTCAACCTCTGTCACCCCTAATCCTCCGCAGCCCCGGCCACTCTGGTTTATCGGAGGGTTAATCAACCCGTTCATTCTTCCCTTTAATTGTTCTGATTAGAATAAAGGATGGTTTCTTACAGCAGTCTTGAGTTCATCTCACTGATGTGTGCGCTGGGCTGGGACTTTAACACGGAGCAGGATATAAACCCATCAATGCACTCATTAAATATATATATAAATACTGTAGCCATGTAAGAAAGTCCAAGATAAAAATGTGCAGTTATGTTTTTCACAAAAATCCATTTTTGTTTTTGCTCTTCAGAACATTGAACTTTAGAAAGGTTTTAAACAGGCACAACATTTTGAGGAAAATTAAAAATAGCTGGATAAATGCACTAAAAAAAGCTAAGCTAACTCCAAAACAGCTACCAACACAGATGTGTAAAAAGAAAGGCTCGGCTCAGGAACGACTAAAAACTAAGAAAAATAACTGCTAATGTTGCAGGTTTGACCTGGCATTTACTGAAAATTGCCGAAGAGCACGAAGCAAAAAAAATATCTCAAAATAGATGAGCCATTTGAAAAGGTTACAAATTGCAACAAGACAGAGAAAATGGACACATTTAATAAAAAAACTTAACTTAGTAAACCTTATAGTAGATAAAAGTGAGTCAAAAGATAGTTTATATTTAATAAAATTGTGATTGAAGTCCAAAAATGCCTCAAATTTTGAAGAAAGTGGAGGTATATTTAAAAAATATAAAGAGGTCAGTCTGGGTTTGATGTAAAATTTTATAAAAATATCACAGGTGTATCAGTGGGTTCACATTTACAGAAGGAAAAAATGTGAGATAAAGACAAAGATAAAGAACAGAAAAAAGACTAGAACAGAGATAAAGACTAGAACAACATCTAAAAGACTTGTTGGACCGAGTCGTCTTAAATGGGACTCAAACTCTACGTCTCATCACCACTGAACAAATGATATAATAACGTGTGTTTCAGTCCGACCTCCTAAACCGTCTCATAAAAATATTTAATATAGAATCATTTTAGATTTGACCAGATTTTACCCATGATTCCCTGCTCAGTCTGGACGAGGTGGAGACGGTCAGCATGGGTGGTGTGTCAGAGGTAAAGATGTCAAATCTATAGGTTTGTGAAGGTCACGCTAAACGCCACGAGGGGGTGAGAACTGACGACCAACTGCAAACACGTGGCTGCAGCACTGGTGTAAATATGACACTGCAGGGGGCGCTAGTCACCGGTTTTGATCTGTTTTTATAAATCTCAGATTCCGTTATTGGATGCAGTTGATTAGTTATACAAAAAGTGTTAGTGTTAGTGTGTGGATTAAAGGGAGGTGACAATGTAAAAACAAAAGGAGGGGGGGCAGAAACACAGTTACGTGGGTTTAATAACTAGCCCTCAGCGGGGGGGGGGGGGGGGGCCCACCCACACGCCAGATGTTCGATGCTGTGTGTCGGCTACTTGATATATAAATATTCACAGGTGTTTGGGCTGCTCTGATACAGGATCCAGTCCCAGTGAAAACCACTTCTTATTGCTGTTCTTCTTCCTTTGTTCTGAGTCCAGAGTCTCAGAGAAGGAGGCGATACAATATCCAGCATCCAAAGGTCACCCAGTGGCTGCTCCAGCTCAGCTCGGACCACTTCTGGATGGTATGATGAGTGACGTCGTCCTGTAGGGGGAGGATCGGGGGGGTCAATATATGTAGCCTCTAAAGTAAAACTACAGTTTTTTTCTCTGTTACTGGAGCAAAATATTCTTGAGGTCTGATAAATATTTAGTCGATAAAGTGTGAACTAAAGTTGATACCACCCTGGAGCTAAGATATTAGCATATGAGCTAAAAACACACAACTGTAGCTAACATATATATACAGTATATACATTAATATATATATACCGGTATATGTTTATATTAGCAAATGCTAATATAAACATATACAGCTGCAACGCGGGAGTATTTATCTGTTCAACTCCTTCAACAGTCTTGTCTTTCCTCACCTCGTCTTCCTCTACGTAGTCCCAGTCTTGTCTTCCCTCACCTCGTCTTCCTCTACGTAGTCCACACTGGAGTTGAACACAGATCCCAGGTAGGTCAGATGAAGCACCGCTAAAGCGCTAAATGCTACGTTAATCAAATAGACCCAGAGCGCCTGCAGGGGGAGACACAAAGCATCAGAGAGTAACGAAGAAAACAGCAAATACTTCACAGTACTTTCCACACTACTCCATGGTTGTAGGGACTGTCTCTCAGTCAGCTTTTTTACGCAGTATTATAAGTGGAAATGAACTTATTTTTATCTCTGACCTCAGGCACGGTGTCTTCTGTCATGTGATGTACAATGTGATAAAAATAACTTCCATTTAAAGCCTTTTTACAGAGACTTTAATCCATCAGCTGTAATGGGGACATGTTGTCCTCCTGCTCTGCTTTTTTTTTCATCCATACTGTTGTTATAATATGTGTAACAATTTTAATATAAAGGAAATTTAAGGCCGTGCACAATCTGACCAGCAGATGTCGTCCTTCAGTCATCATCCAGCCATCCGAGAAGAAGCTACATTTGAGGGGATTAATTTCCAGAATGTCTTTGAGCGGAGGGTAAAAATAGAAAAGACATTTTCCCCCCTGAATGTTAACTAGGCCAGACGGCACGAAGCCCCCATCATGGCGGCACGAAGCCCCCATCATGGCGGCACGAGGGCTTCTGCTCTGTTCGTGCATCATTAGTCATTGGTCTAATGTGTAACAACAAAAGATGTACACAAAAGCACGTCAAAAATAACTCGTACATAAGGCAAAAGGAACATAGCAGAGAGTCTAGCGACATCTAGTGGTGAAATAAGAGCCAAGATTTCTTTTCTGAACAAGCAGAGATTTTTCTGATTTTCAGTTTTGTGTTCAGTTTCATATGACTGACTGTGGTACCTGTGAATCAAACACTGTGACCAGTGTGTAACCCAGATGTGCAAAGTCCGGCCCGGGGGCCAATTCCAGCCCGTGGTCAGGGCTTTTACGGCCCACTTCTGCCAGCTTCCTGGATATTTTTCTCATCTAACATGGCAGAACATCTACATCGACTCGTCAGAGGTGAGTGACGGAGGACAAAGCTGCCGCTCACCTTTTTGTTTCGATGAGTGCAGTTTGGCCGACACTTCTTTGTCAGCACACAGGCGTTCAGGACGACAGCGAGCCTCCTCCGCAACACTGCAACAAAAAAACAGGAGCGCAGCGTTGGAGTTCAGCTGGAGCTGGAGTCAAACCGTAAAGAAGACAAATGACATGGAACAGGGTGGAACGCTGCCTTCAATGAACTATTACTGCACAGATCAGCTCTTTGTTTTTGAACGGAAACTAGGGACGTCCGATATTAACTTTTTGCCGATATCCAATATTGTCCAAACACTTAATTTCCAATTTATTTATTCATCTGTACAAAACCACTGTATGAGTATGAGATTAATTAAATGAGCTGCAATGCTGCCATCTAGTGACTGTCACTTTAATATGCAGCCGTTTATCCCCAAAACTATTTTTAGGGCACGCGTCATTTGGCGAAACCCAGGCTTTCCATATTTCATATTTTCATACGATTCTTACAGATAAGATGCTAATTTCGGGTCTGCCGATATTATCGGACATCCCTAATGGAAACAGATCTGATGTGGCGAGGAGACGACATGAAACCCACTCTCACCGTGTTCGATGTACGTGATGAAGCCCAGGGATATGAGAACTGCCCCCAGGTGAAAACTCAGACCCTAAAAACCAAACCGAGTTAGAAACCAAACATTTCAACATTTCTGCCGACGCTGACATTCTGCTTCAGCAGCACTCACGTGCAGGAGGGCGCTGGCGGCGTATGTCATCATGACGGCGGAGAACGCCCCGAATTTCAGGGCACTCCTGAAGACGTCTGTGGAATGAGGACGCAGACGTGATGAGGAGTTCAGAGGAACAAAAACAAATAGTTCTGTTAAAGGATTTCAGTTTTACAGGTGTGCAGGAAGCAGGACATCGGCTGATTCCACGACGTCACCACCTCCGCCATGGACCGAGGAAACTCCACACTCAGGGGTTTGGTTACCGTCATGTCCCTGTCAAACAGAGTCAGGGACAAACATTCAGTCAAGAGTTTTTTTACAGAGAATTTAGAATTGATTTACAAACTTTGTTTTCCTTCATTTTCTACGCACTAAATTATTACGTCACCTCCTTGTTTTATTCCCAACAGTTGGGCAAGGTTGTTACCAAAACATATCCACTAGGGGGCAGTTTTGGATTCTGCTAAGAACGGGGGTCGGGGCCCAAATAGAGACAGAGCAGGAGACAGTGGTGGACGGTGTGGACATTAAATACAGCGCATGTGGACGGAGAATTCTTCTAGCAGGTTCCGTCATTTCTATCGTCGCTTTTTTAAGAGGCACACTGGGTTAAACTGCACAACACTGCCCCCTATATTTCCAGTGGTACTCAAAGCGTTTAACTCCCGGAGATTCAGATACAATACATCTATTAGTTATAGCGTTTCATTCCTCTTATTTTTTTACCCTTTTTTTGGTAAATACATCTGTTTTTGAATATTATTACGTTTATATTTTTTTTTAAATATTATTCTGTGTTCAGTTCTGACCATTTGAGGTTGTCCTTAGATCTGTTTTTGAATATTATTACGTTTAATTTTTTTTTTAATATTGTTCTGTGTTCAGTTCTGACCATTTGAGGTTGTCCTTCTCCTCCGTGAAGCCAGCTCCAGCCAGAGTAGCAGTGGTCTCGCTGAAATATCCCACAAAGTAGTTGCTAAAGTGGAAGGACATGGAGTTCTCATAGGCCAGAAACCACCTGCAGCGAAGGTCAAAGGTCAAAGGATCACATGAGTTTAAATACCAATTCAAACTTCATTTTTGTAGTGATAATATAATATAAATAAATACATACTTTGCCAGGGTACTCCTAAGAAACATCAGAGAGAAAAAAGAGAAGTTTTTGAAAATAAACGTCATTGAAAGCGTTCGGTATTTGAACAGATATTTAAGAAACTCAGTAAATGATGATCTACTGTGTGTCTCACCATGGTTTTCACGATGGTGAGACAGTTGTGGAAAGGGAGGGGGGGACAGATGACCTGGAACAATGTGGCTGCACAGAGAGGGGCAGTTATGTGGACACGTGTGTAGGTCAAGACCAGACAGAAAAATGGTGGGAAAAAAAATGTGCATGCACCACACGACATGGAGAAAGTACGACGGTCGGACGGTCGTTGTTTACCTGATTTTTCTTCTTTTTTTCCTGTAAAATGGAAAAACAAAATGGAGTCAAATGTGACGGAGCAGGAAGCAGTAAAAGATGAATTCACTGCCGTTCCTTCACTCACCCTCGGAGTAACTTGTCCCCGTACACAGGTATGAAGTAGGGGAAGAGGTACGGAGCCACACAGTTGGAAACAACGAGGCAGAGCTGACTCTTCACCCAGCTGAAGGAGACCTTCAAGAACCAGGAGAAGCTCTGTGGAGCAGAGAGGAGGAGAAGATTCAAAAGGTAATCAGATATCTGGACGTTTCACTCCTCAACTGAGGAACTTCATCAGTTTCCAAAATCCAAAGAGCTGGACTTCTTCTTGGAGCTTGGAAGACGTTTCATTCCTCAACTGAGGAACTTCATCAGTTTCTGAGGAACTGGTGAACAGTTTCACAGAGAAAAGAAACTGATGAAGATCCTCAGTTGAGGAACAAAATGTCTTTCCAGCTCCAAGAAGACCTGGATGAACGAGACTCTTCTCATCCGTCCAGTATTCCCTGTGGTGTGGAAGGTCCCTCCTACTCACCAGCTTGTGTCCTTCCAACGCGTCTTTGTAGCTGTTGAAGCTGATCCAGGGACCGAAGATGACCGTGCCCACAAAGTAAATGTAGCCCATGAATTCAACGGGCGACGGTACGCTGGTCACCACACCTCGGTCCAAGTCAAAGGCCAGAGAGATGGCTTTCATGGCCACCACCATCTGTGAACCTGTGACACAGTGGTCGTCGTCACATCAGACGATACAGCAAGAAAAGGTCAAAGAAAATCCGAATGAACAGAAAGTGAGCAGAGCTTTTAGACCAAAAGAGCGTACGTTTGCTGGATCGGCACGTTGACAAGTGATACAAATACTGTGTTGCCATATGTTGCCACAAAGATAAAGTAGATAAATGTGTACCTCTCATTTTGTGCCACTTGGTGGTGTCCATCATGTGAAGTTCTCTGAAACAGAGGAGAGAAACATTTTCCTCATTTCTCTGTTACATCCAAGGCTTAACGTCTGTCAAATTATGATTTCAAACCCTCAAGCAATTACATTTTTAAGTGTATTTTTAATTCATTTCTCAAATTAATTAAAATGCTAATTTTGACAGCCCTAAAGCACATGTTATATTTCTATAGAGTGGGAGGGGCAACAGCAGTCCTCGTTTTTGTTGCTGTTGAACCTTCAGCTGTCACTCGTCTTCTTACCCCAACAACAGGTAGATGAGCACAGTGATCGACAGAAAGGTGCCCCTCATGGTGGAGTGTCGACACAGGAAGAGGAAGAGGTAGCAGAGGAGGCTGAGGAGGACCACCCAGATCATATGGAGCTCAAAGAACAGATACAGGGCGTAGAAGCCGCCGGCCACGGTGCCCAGGTGTTTGATGAAGGAGGGGAGGCCTGCAGCACAGAGAAGGGGGGGTGAGGGGGGGTGATTATGCTGACGTGGGGGCTGACGGGGCCCAGAGGACGGTGACCTCTCACCTAACATCCAGAGGAGCCGACACAGCAGGCAGATAACCAGCAGCTGCCACACCTGCTCCAGGCCCTGCTGAGCTGTGGGCAGCAGGCAGCCGTGGGTGAGCTCCTGGAAAAACCTTTGTCGACTCAACGCTGCCATCACTGGACCGAATACGGCATTGATGTAGAAACACAAAAACACACAAACACACTGTGAGTACAAGGGTGAAACTTCAGTATTTTTAAAGTGAAGGTCACAAAAAGATGAATGGAGGTTAAACCTCTGGATGGCGGCCCACGATGGCCTCAGCAGCATGAAGCAAAGGGGGCGCTCTAACTGAAAACAATTGCACGACAACGTTCCAAAGTGATATATGCACTCTGATATGTCCTATGGTAAATCTTGTGTGAATGCTGCCCCCTGTTGTTCAGACTAGAGTCCGATAAAAAATCTTTTTAAATGTAACGTAAACAAAGGCACTAAAAAAATAAGAACTAAAGCAAAAGAAAAAACTAAACTGAACACCTCTGGTAGTACACGATAAGATTCCTCGCATACCACTAGAGGGAGCCGAAGTACCACTATAGGTACGCACACCGGTGTTAGGAAACCACTGGATTAAATGTTTTTCTTTTAAATGTATATATCTATGTTTCCATTTCGTAAAGAAATACATGAAATTTGACTGGAGTTCTGTTGCCATGGAAATGTTAAGATGAGACGTCGCTCTAGTGTTTTTTACTTTTTTTTCTTTTATTTACCAATGTGGAGACAGATACCAGGACTTCATGTGTGAGCCACGCTCTTCTCCGCAATGCAGTCGACTAAATGGGATGAACCGACACACAGCAGCTGCTAACAACCTCTGCCGGCTAACAGCAACGTCCATTGCTGCAGTTCCACGTCCAAACAACTCATATACATAAAGCACAAACCAAATGTGTTCGAAACGGCGATCTTACCAGCGGTGTACACTGATGCCCTGCTGCCGCCGCCGCCGTCAGCGTCCCTCACTGCTGATCCCCAGCCCCCATCCACACAAGGCTGACAGAAGAGCCGGGCACGTCAGTCACAGCAGCCGGGGAAACTCCTCTTCTCAGGGACAGCAGCTGGAGGTCACCGCCTGTCTGTGTGTGTGTGTCCAGTTTCTTCTTGTTTCCTGATGACGTGTTGACAGTGTTCCGCCGTGTTTTTAAGCCCAGATGATGGTTCTTTGACAGATTCCCATTGTCACAGCATCAGCACCGCTGGCCTCTGTCAACTGTGGGACCACGCGACACAGCAGCCAATCAACTGCTTCGAGCTGAACGCGTCGGCCAATCAGCAGGTACGTTTGAGTTGAGTGACGTTTAATAGAGCCAATCGGGTTTGAGGCTTACTCTTCTCCGACGTCGTCCTTCTAGTAGTATGTGTATGGTTTAACAGACGGACTTAAACATTTTAACCAGAAAATATATTTCAGCGAGAGCTGAAAAAACATTCCGAATGTGATCCAAAATGGCGTCCTTCCAGCGTTAACGGTTACAAGTACAGTAGCAGTACTACAGATTTGTAAACAAGTACATAAAGATGTGGACAATTTATTATTCTTTAACTTTTTTGATCACAGAAAAGAAAACCACACAAGAAACCAATTTCTACAGTGAAGTCTGAAATCCAACACGATATCATTCCGTGTTCAATGTGACACACACTACAATCACAGTGACCGAAAGGCAACGTAACAAATTGACCAGCAACTCTTGAGTGAAAAAGACAGAGTAAAGTGTTGTTTTGCTCTTAGCAAGATGGCTGAAAAAATGATTTAAATCTGATTTCACATTAAAAATGTATTTAGTTTTGGACAATTGGGTCTGATGTATTAGCCAAGCTAAATGTGGTCCGTTTCAGAGAGCTAAAGACCCCGACCCTGACTTGTGGGTCAGAAGACAGGACTCTGTACTTTCTTGTGACATAGGAGAAAATCAAGTGACGACTACAGCACACGGTTCTGTTTCAGCAACGTTTTTACCATTAACAATTTATATAAAAACATACTGTAAGCTACAATACATTTGGTAAAGTGACATCATCACAGGTGAAGAGATATAATTGGTTGAAAATAGCAGCACTGTTAGTTCAGCTTAGTTCATTAAAACTGGGGCAAAAAATATTCACCTTGCGTTTTAATTGTAGCAGCTTTCTAAAACTAAAAGTTTATTTTAAAAGATGTTTAAAGGTAAAAACTGATTTTTTTTATGGTCTTCTTATCGTTTTCAGATTTCGATCTCTATATCATAAGCAATCAGTTCCTTTCCATCTTGAACACTTTGTCTGGGTTTAACATTCTGCCTCGATGTCTCAGCATGTTTTGATTTAGAAAAAATATACTGATAATTTCTTTGCACATCAAGTAATGCTGAAGTGAGATACTGAGGTGAAAACATTTTGAGGAAGCCTGGGAACTCTGTAGGCTGAGAGAAAGGTGCGGGAGAGGAAGGTGAGGGCGCCACCGTCTGGGGCTGTTTTTGCTCTTTTGGCTCTTTCTCTACCTTTGGCATCAGAGGTCGCAGCTGAACAGTCTTGGTCGGACATACAGGGCGTTGGGTAGAAGGCACGGCAATAATTTGGATAGGAGTCACAATCAGCACTCTCTCCTTGAAGTCGTCAGTTTGACTTTGCTCCGACACCTCGGGCTGAACGTCCTCTACAGTCCTTTCTTCAATTTCTGGCTCACTAGCCGAGGAATCTTCTTCTGTCTTCGGCACCACATCAGCTACGGTGGGATTGAAAATCGTGTGGTTGTGACGTCAGAGGAATCTTCCGTCTTCGGCACCACATCAGCTACGGTTGGATTGAAAATCGTGTGGTTGTGACGTCGACAGAACATTACCCCACAGGTGCTGCACTTCCTGTTATCTCTGACGTGCAGCAGCTTATGGCGCTTGAGTAAATGGGTGGAAGCGTAGGATCGACCGCAGATGTTACATGGGAAGGACAGCTCGTCGGTTCCTGCGTCCTGGTGCTGGACGGCGCCGGTTTCATCGCTTAACTCTGCGCTTTCTTCGTGGAGCTGTTGGTGTTTGTTGAACTCAGACTCGTTGGTGAAGTTCTCATTGCACAGGTCACACAGGAAACTCTCCTGTGGTATAACCACACGTTTGAGTAGAACTACAGGTCTCACTTTGTTCATGTCTGCAATTATCTTTGATTTAATAATTGACAGCGACGTCTGGTTTGGGCAGAGTGATTCTGTGTGATTCTCTGTAGCTCCAGGTTCAGCTTCAGGCAGGTGAGTCAACGTTTCTGCCTCCTGGAAATAGACAAAAAAATAATTTAGTATCATTTGCTGAAATGACCTCTACATTTAACTGCACTACATACAGATTAGTAAATCGATATATAAATGAGATGAAAGTTATAATAACAAAAAAAACAGGTCATTGCTAGGCCAGAGAGTAGAGCGGGTTAGCACTCGTCCTTCACACCAAGAATGAAGCGATAGAGAATGAATAAATATATAGGAGTAATATTGGCAACAATTACCTCTGAAGATGATGGTTGTGGTGATGTTTCAGTTTCCATCAGCACGGGTGATTTGTCCTCCGCTAGAATCTTAGCTGGCGGTGGAGTTTGGATTTCTTCTTGTCTCACGTCGGCTCTAAAACAGCCTTTTCTTCTTTTTCTTCTTCAACCAAAAACATTATTGCAGAGAAACTTTACACACATTGCATAAGGTATGTATAAACTGATGAAGAAACAAAAAAGTGATCCTGTTAAAATGCTTATACAAAATGTAGGAAAATACCAGGGACCTCTGGTGATTAATACTTGGAGAGAATAAATCCTCTCTGTCATTCACGTAAGTGAACGATAAAGAAGAGTAAACTCCAACTTTACTATTTTATAAAAATGACACATACTTGTTGTATTTTTAACTAAAGATGATAATGGGCTCTTAAATTTTTAATTTTGATATAAACATTTTTTTTTTCTATAAAGTAAACAGTGTCGACCACACAACTTACCCTCTTTTATTCTGGTTGATTATTTCAGGGGAGGCAAACACAGACGGGACAAAGTCAGGACTGTGAGGGTCTTCGGATGCCGTTCCTGTAAAACATGTTTGTGTGTCTTTTAACCTGGTGCCACACTTTATTTTAGACAAAGTTCTTTACCTCATTTATAAACACGCCCATCTCACCTGATAGGAAATGAGTGCCACAAACGTGTGCACTCCCTTTGAGTTCCCCTGTTTCACCGTTTGCTCGTTGAATCGCTTGTCGCCATAAACGTGAGCGGTCGACTTGATGTCCGGACGGTATCGGAAAGAACTTGAGTTTGGAGCAGGAGCTACGGTCTTTACCACAGCTAGATATGCAACACTTCAGCATTTTATGCAAAAACAGCCCGAGTTTTTTTTTCTTTCTGCTTAGTTTAAAGAACACTACCGGAAACAACAAACTACACTTCCGTCGCATAGATTCAGCTGTCGCACGTCTAGTGATGACGTCATACAGAGGTCCACAAAATTATGATTTCAGACTTTAGTTTATTTATGCCGTAAAGTAGAATAACTACCGTAAAATATAACGCAGAGTCACAGTGTATTCAACAGTTAAATAGCTAAGCTAACAATGACGGTAGATGCCCGAGAAATATCTTACTGTAATTATAAATACCTACATAAATAAAATAAAAATAACAGATAATTTATTTTATTTATGTACGTAAATACATTTTAAAAAAATGCAGATACTACTGCAAGAATCTACGTACAGTTCAGGATATAAAGTGTATTAAATGAAATAAAATGCAGATACTACTGCAAGTATCCACGTACAGTTCAGGATATAAAGTGTATTTGGAAACATGTTTTTTATCCCCTATAGTGAAAAGAAAAACATATAATTACCAAAATCACGACATTAAAGTAAAAAGAGAAACGGTGTCATTAGCAACGACAACATGTAGAAATTACATTAACATCGCACAACAAACGTCTATTTGATTTATTATCTTGTTGTGGACACGATTTTCTGGTAAATGTCTAGTCACTCACTAGCAGTTTTTCACCGCCAGATGTCACTCTTGCATAAGATCGAGGAACTAATGTGTTTTGTGAAGACAGTCAAATAGTTTTATAACATTTATTGAATTCACAATTTCGAAATAAGAGTAGATATAAAGGATAGTCATAAATATAACAAAATATGATATTTTTGTCTATTTTGTTAACAAATATAACAATATAGATTAATGATACTTTAAAAAAAATTAAACCAAAAATATGTTGCTGTGCCTGAGTACCGCTGCACGTGGTTCTACTGTTGATAATTGCTGCTTTGAATTCTCATGGTGTATACTCAGAGTCTGGAATGAAAATCAATCAGTAATGTTGCGCCTGAGAGTCCAGTCAATATTATACATTTTCACTCATTCCTCCACTGAGAGCCAGAACCAGAGTCCCACTGACTTTATTATCTAAGCACCAGTGCAGAGAATGATCTGGATTATATACAGGATGGATGACCTGCAGTAAGATATGTTTTTTACACAGAAATATCCACGTAATTTTCAGCTTCTTTTACAACATAAAAAATTCCTATTCCATTCCACCTGGCAGTGTATTTGCACATCACACATTCTAGAATATCTACAGGCGAACGGCCTAAAAGGAAACAGTTTGGCATGCCCTGCTCCATCTTCTCCACCCTCTCCTCCCTCCCTCCATCCCCTCTACTTCCTCCCTCAAGGTGACTCCTCCATCTGCACCTTTCCTGGTTTTTCCCAATCTCTCTCTTCTTCCACTGAACCGTGCTACAGTTATTCGGAAAACCACGCTATCTCACCTGCCTAGTTAAACGCTCAAGACGAGAGAAGCAACAAAAAAAACCTTTCATATTGAACAATTACACACACATATATGTGTATATATATATATGTATATATATTTTCCATCCCCACTGTTTTTTTCTCTTGATGTTAAAAATTATAGACGTGTCTTTTCACAGGCTTCATTTCAGTCAAAGACGTAAAGAAAAGAAGAGACTAAGGAGATCAATGTCTTTAGAGTAAATCCAAGGACAGCAGACAGGGTGAAGACAGAGAACCGTTGGCCTGATTTGGTTGAAGAGCTTCATCACTGTAACTGTTCAAAGTGGGTCAGAAAAAAAACCCTTACGTCGACACTTTCTCTCTCTCTCTCTCTCCACACCTGCTTCTCGTCTTCCGTTCCTGACACGTGTCACGCTCATCATGTGATGCTCAGAGTTTTAATACCAGGTGGAGTTGGCGTCTGAACACTGGTACTGACAGCCTTCTCTCTGTTTACCCAGCAGCCCCGTGACCGGCGCCCCTTCACTGGCTCCTGAGGGGAGTGTTGTAGCTGGCACTCAAACGGGCGCTGAAGGGCTGAGGCCCCACACCGACGTCGGGAATTAAGGACCAGTTACCCCCCCCCCCCCCCCCCCCCCCCCCCCCCCCCCCTGCCTCCACTTTACTCCATTATCTACCCTACCTCTCTCTCTCTCTCTCGCTCTCTCTCTTTCCCAACATGACACACCTCAGCTTCTCCACCTAAACACCTCTATTTTCACTCCACTTTCACAGCCCTGACCGGCACAGAGGTGGAGGCCAGAGTGATGGAAATGAAAAGTAAAAAAGGAGGTAAAGGGCGGAGAAGAGCGTGAAAAGAGGGGTTATTTCTGTGGGGGAAAACGGAGACAGAAAAAAAGGCGGGCGAGGCTGTGTGTGTGTGTGTGTGTGTGTACAGAGAGAGAGAGAGTGGGGCGTCGTGGGAGCCACTGGGTAATGATATATTGATTTGCCTGAGCCTGGGGCAAGTCAGCAGGAGTACGTGGGAGGAGGAGGAGGAGGAGGAGGAAGAGGAGGAGAGTTTAAATTATTTCTGTCCTGGGAAGGATAAGTTCTGTCTGTAAATCTATGGGTTTATTTACACAACTGCCCCACCCGGGGTATTATTTAAAGGGGGGTTTTAAATTATTTCTGTGTGTCAGAAGTGATGGTCTGGGCTGTCAGCCGGAGCGCTGAGCCGGACCGGAGTTATATCCAAACCCCCTGGCTGTAGAAGCAGGCACTTACAGAGCAGACACTCACCGGGGATCGCATTAAGTGAAATCACTAAAGGGGGAAGAAGAAGGACTGGAGTGGAATTAATGGGATTCCGACCATTTTCTCTTCCTAATGTGTCAAGGTGTGACGACATGGCCGCTCACATGAACTCCCACGGGCCAGGAGTTGAAAGATGCAGATAGTATTGATGAACTACATTTCTCACTGAATAATACAGTTCTCATCGACAGGAAGGGAATGTAATTAAAGTTGGACGGCAGTGCAAAGGAAACATGGCGGAAAATATGGTGGAACCATGAAACGACAGAGATTAGAGAGGAAATGAACCAAAACATTTAATTATTAAAGAAAAATTTGAATTTATATTTGTATCAAATTTATTTTTGTGATATCTACTTCTCATACTTTTTTATTATATTATTACATAATATAATTGTGGTATATATTATATATTAATACATATATTATAATACACACAATTATATTTCATTATTGTATTTATAGTTTGGTATAACAATAATAGATATTATTATTATTATTATTCATTTTATGAGTAACATTATATTGTTATATTAAATCATTACAGTATACACACATATATCTATTTGTAGAAAAATATATTTTTTAGTTTGACCTGTAAAAGCAAAAACTTCTAATGGACCAACAGTATGACAGTAATATTTCTGCAGGTCGTCACACACTCTACTCTGTTCATGTCAGAACACCAGTGTCCACACACGTGTGCTCTTCAAAAGCACTCACATTCCCGTACACCCCCGCTCTTTCTGGCACCAAAAGCCCTCTGTGACAGACAGTCTGGTCCTCAGTGTCAGACCAAAAACCTCAGAAACCTCATGGTCTTTGTTGTAGCCTGAGGACCGTCTCTTCACAGCACCAGGATAATCTCCACTCCCTTCACACGTCCCAGATCGACAGAAATACTGACGCAAAAAAACCCCATCCTGTCGCACACGCCTCTGCCCCTAAGACTCATATATATATATATATATGTATATATATATATGCTTTGTCAGGTTTATATATATATAAATATATGTATATATGGAGCAACTTTCAACTACTTTTCTTAGAACGAGGCCCAAATAAATCACAACAAATGACTTTAAATCACAGGTTAAAATCTATATATGTATAACATCTCTCTCTATATATATATATATATATATATATATACATATATATTTTAACCTGTGCTTTAAAGTCATTTGTCAGTTGTGATTTATTTTGTTTGTGGAGTTGAAAGTCGCTCCGTCACTCCTCCACCCTCAACTCAACTCCGTCACGTCTCTCTCCCACTGTGGCCTCACATGCTGTGACATAACGAAAAGAAAACACTGAAGGATGAGGAAAAAAACACTGTGACAAGGTGGAGCAGACAGTACAGAGTGGTGATGAGTGACGAGGGGAGAACAGTGACCTCAGGTGGTAACAGGTTCACTGAAGTATCTGCCTTTGATTGGTGGTATTAGCCGTCCCCCATGACCATGTCAGTTTACTGTGATGGACAGGTCACTCAGTTCTCCATTAACACTGAGTGTCTGTCTCTGAAGACGTGTGTGTGTCCGTCCTCCAGCTGCAGCTTCGTTTGGTTTGAGTGACGTCCTGCAGTGGTTTTTTTATGGGAGGTTTTACTTGTCGATACCAATTGAAAGTAGTGAAATTTTAGCTCTCTCACTGTGGAGTACATCCAAGCTAATATGTTAGCGCCAGCTAAGTAAAGAAATACTTAGAAATAATTTTAACATCTCGTGTTGTTTATTTTTCCTCGTGTTGTTCATTTTTAAATAAAAAAAAAAAATAAATTTAAAAAAATGAACTCAGAAGAATCAGAAGGCTGCGCTCTGAGGCTGGTGTGGCTGCAGCGTGGTTTTACCTGTATATATTTTGGCAGCCTTCTCCCCAGGGCGGTAAATAAATGATGATCGCACTTTAAATTCTGCCAGTATTTCACTTCGCTGCAGCTTTAGGCCTTCAGCCTACGTTCTCTGTGAGAAAATAAGAAAGAAAAAAACAGTTTAGGTCTCTCGTTGTTTTTTTATTCCTGAAATTATTTTCATCCGTCTTTTCCGACTGTTTTATTCATCCTTGGTTTTTATTCCCCTCCACAAACGACTCTCCGCTGAGTCGTTGTCAAATGTTACTTTTACAGATCGTCCTTTTCCCTCCACTCACGGTTGAAAATATTCCACCGTTAATATTGATTCCAGATAAAAACCTAACCGTCGTTTCTCTGGTGTATTCTGGTGAAGCAGAACACGACACAGAGTCTGGTGGAACCTGCTGAGGTCAGACACTCTGTCAGCGCCGTCCTCCGTCTGAGTGACTGTTGGTAACAGCCAGACCTCAGAGGGGGAGGGGGGGTGATATAAACGCCCCTTTATGGCAGCCTACCTGTTACTAGTAAGAAAAATAAATAAATAAATAAATTAAATGCAATAAAGCAGTGGTTCTCAAACTGTGGTACACATACCACCAGTGGTACGCGAGAGCTCTCTCTAGTGGTCCGTGGGGAAAATTCATATTTTCACATTTACTTTTTCAACTAAATAAATCTGAAACATACCATGTACAATTAATACAACATTTAAACATAACGTAACACAGCTGGTACCTGGGCCCCCTCTAGTGGTTTAAGATACATACATAAATATACATATGCTCATATATACTGTACACACACACACACACACACACACACACACACACACACACACACTGGGTCAGGACTGAGGAAAGCGTTTTGTTGCTGCTGTGGTTGCTGGAGTTGCTCTTTACTTCATGACAGCTGATAAATGACTCCCAGTGATGTAGCACAGAAGGAGGGGAGGGGTGGGGTCGGTGGGTGAGAGAGAGAGAGAGAGAGAGAGAGAGGGTGAGAGTAAGTTAAAGTCCATGGACTCAGAAAGAGGAGGTAAAAACCTGAAGGTCGAGCTCCTCTGTGGCCGTGGCTCCCCCTGCAGGTCATTCTGATTACATGATAAACCTGTTGTTCTACACCTCCTCCTCTCCTCTCCTCCGTCACTGCTCTCCCACTCACTCATTTGCATTTTCTCCCTCTTGGCGTTCTTCCATTTCTCCCAATTTGTCCTGTCACACCTGTTATTTACTTGTTTTTCTCCCTCCCTCCCACTGCCCCCCCCATCACCCCCTCCCCACAGAGCTCATTGAAATGCACAGCCTCTGCCGAGGAGCTGCTGAGGGCATTTTTTTTTTTTTTTTTTTATAATAACCGAACGCAGAGCTCAGTTCAGTTTGAAGAGACTCTCAACACCTCAAGGTGACACGGGGCTGATGGAAAACTCTCCGGAGAAAGAACCTGTTCCAACCTCTTCTCTCTCTGATTTCTCTGAGCCCATGATTTTGCCACGACTCTGACGTCTGGCAGGTTTATTCCTCCCTGTCCTGAGCACAATGTTCCCAACGCTGCCTCTGCTGGCTGCAGACGAGCAGAAAGGAAGAGGAGGAGGAGGAGGAGGGGGAGGAGGAGTAGGAAATGGATTTGAGGAGAGGTTGACTTGGGAAGGAGGCGATAATTTGTCCAAGATTATTTGACTAAGTGAAATCAGGAGAAAGCAATACGTTGTAAAAAGGATTTTTATCTGCGGTGAGAATCGAATGGATGCATTTGAATTTTTGTTCAATTTTTGTTTTATGCAGTGTAAATCCAGTGGTAGTACAGCATGTAGATCAGCAGGCGGCCACATCAGCGGGGAACGAGCCGTTTGTGTGTCCCCCCTCACCCCCTCACCTCCTCCTCGCCTGCAGTGAGGAGTGCTTTATCGCCCCTCTCTGGGGGGGAAGAAGAAGAAGAAGTATCGTCCAATCAGGCGTTAAAGTGACTTCCCCTCTGGTCTGGTTGTTGGTCCTGACAGTGATCCGTCGGTGAAGAGAGGTGCAGCACCCACACCTGGAGTTGGACTTCCACGCTCCTTGTTTTCGTCTCCCGTGGATATTTACATCCCCACAGAACGACCGGAACGAGGACAAAAGGAGGACCTGAACGGACTCCTCTCCCTGAGGGGGAGTCTGAGGGTGGACTGAAGTTTCACACGTGCTCCTCTCAGAGCTGCGTAGGAAAGAAAAAAAAGATTGTTTTTTTTGTTCAGAGATCTTCAGTAAAGCCTGGACTGGTTTGAGAAAAATCTACAGCAAAAGTCGAGAGAAGGGGTGAGAGAAGGGGTGAGGGTGGGAGCCCACCTGCCTGCAGAGCCTGTCAGACGCCTCTCTGGGCAGAGTCTGGCGTCTATAAAGACCATCAGACTGTTTTAAGTGTTTCTCACTCAGGCGTTGTTTGTTGTGACGGTCTTTGTCGAGGCGAGGCTTCACGGCAGACGCCACAGTCGTGGATCACAGGTGTCGCTGAGGATTAGAACCCGGGACCCACAGGACCCACAGGACCCGCAGGAGCCACAGGATCACAATGACTCAGGATTATTAAGAACGGGGTTGGAGGATGAGCACGGTGAAAGTAGGAGGTGGAGGGCGGGGGCCGGAGAGGAGAGGGTGGAGAAAGTTGTGCTGAGATTCTTTCTCTTCTCTTCTGCTTCACGTTCTCCTCCGGGGACGAGGGCTGACGGAGAACATGTCGGCACAGATTAGATTATCGGCTTTATGAAAAGCAAACGTGGGCACGGTGTGATGGACTGCCGTGGTCCACTCCATAACTGACGCAGCGCGGAGTTCCATTGACCCAAGAATCGTTTTGACATTGATTCTCGTCGCTGGTCTGGTGGTGATTCGTCTGACCCCGGGTCTAAAAGGTCACTAATTCAATTATTATCCACCACTTTGCTCCACAGCGCTGAGTGAGCTGCTGCTCCGTCAGACTCACGTCGGTCATCATGTCCGACCGCAGGTCAAACACTTCCTCAAACTCCCGTCAGTTGGAGGACCGTATGAACAGGACTGAGTTCTGCTGACGTCGGCAAGAACTGATGAACAAGTGAAGGTCGGTTTAGGGCTGTTGTCTGTTTGTGTGGCATTTGCTGCTGTACGGGTTTTTTTTTTTTTTTTAATCCCTGGCACTGGCGCTTATCTCAGCTGCACAGCATGAATTTTTATAAAAAAAATCAAATCTGAGTTAATGGTTTACGGGCCACAGATTTACCTGAGCCAACCAGTTCCATCAGAAATTAGGTTTTTAACTATGCACCAATCCTGAAGGACTGAGGACTGAGGACTGGAGGTCTGGAGGAGTTTTTACAACACACACACACACACACTCAGACTAAGTGTGACGATGCTGAAAAGCGGAGCGCGGCAGTTGAAGAGTTCGTCGTGGGATTGAGGAAGGAAGGAGGGAAAACCTCCGTCTGAGGACAGAAGTTTGGAACGAGAAGGAAAAAAACTAAAACAACGTTGGATTAGCACAAATCCACTGATTACAAGCCATGAGCACAAGCCCGCAGAGCTGCGAACCAATATTAATCTAGACTAGCAGATTAAATCTTCCCAGATTTAAACTCTGACTTTGAAGGAATCCAGACCTTTTTTTTTTTTTTTTTAAATCATCGTTGGACTCCAATAAGAAGAGGAAGAGGAGAGAGCCATTGGTCCAAAGTTGTGTTGACTGCGGCTCTGTGGAGCAGTGTAACGTACTCTGACCCTACGACTGAGGGTGGGGCTCTACTACTGACAAAGACAAAGAAGAAGAAAAGAAAAGAAAAGAAAAGACAGAGAAAAAGAAAGAGTCCTGGTTCAACAAGTGGAGAGTTGATTTTTTTTTTTTTTTTACCGGTGTGGTCCAGCAGAGGCACCAGAGGCACAATGGGCTGCAACATGTGCGTGGTTCAAAAGCCTGAGGAACAATACAAGATCATGTTCCAGGTGAGAACTCCAACTGTCTGACATGTTTTTATTTCTGTCTTCAATCTGTTTTAGGACTGAGTTTTTACAACATAAGTAAATATAAAGTATATTTGTACAAATAACCTTTTTAAAAAAATATGAAGAAAATTTTGAAACAATCACTTTTTTAACACCTTTAAATCCAATTCTCTGTTTGATGGTCAAACTTTGATAATTGTGCTGATGTGATCAAAACCTTATATTCTAATAATAATAATAATTATTATTTATTAGAGGTGAATTAAATCAGGATATATTGTGATAAAAAACATTTAGTTTTAGTCACACAGCTGGGCTAATGCGATGCTTTTGACCACACGGGGCAGTACATCACCAACAATGTTTACAACACTTTAAAACTAAGTTTTTGTTGTGTAATAATTTTTAAAAATTACTTCAAATTTTCTTTGGAGATTACAACAGTGAGTCTTCATCTGTGAGCTGATCCTGTCCCTCCACGATGTTTTTTTTGTTTTGTTTTAATAACAGCTGATGTTGTTGAAGTTCTAAGTTCTAATTTTCACTTGTAAACATTTCGACCTGGAAACATCCAGACCAGCGGCAGAACCAGGTGAAAAGGAGAAATAATGATTCAGAGAGGTTTGAGTTTTTGTGCAAAGACTCCAAGAGTCCAACCCCCGTCACTCAGTGGAGATAAGACCCATAATTATCATGATAATAGTTCACAGTCATCATAACCATTAGAGTCAGATCAGAGGACAGGGCTGAGCCTCCTGCTGGTGGAGTGCTGCAGAGCCACGGAGGCAACAGGACGGACGGACGGACAGACGGGCGGACGGGCTGTTAAAGCCGGGCTAAACTGTGATGAGCGAGAGAGGCGTTGCCACGGTTACCGCCTCAGTACTACCTGCCAACTGGGACCTCATCCAGCCGAGCGCTGCCTGAGGAAGCCCAGGCTCTGTGGCTACGATGTTGTTTGCAGTGATCAAAATAAGGCTCCTGCTAACGAAGCGTGAACGGAGCTCAGCGGTCGTGGGTTAGCCGTGCCGAACCGCAGCCAAGAAAGTGAAAAATCTCCAAAGATAACAGGGTGTTAGTCTGGAAACACTGGAAGAAAAGGGATTTTAAAAAAGTAACACCTCCGTCGATAGATAAAACCTGTCCTCGACTGATTTTGTGCTAACTACAGGAGGTGCTAAAACGTAAAAAAAGCTAGCCACGCCCCAAAATACAGACTGTTGTTGTTGTCATAAAATATTTGAAAATATTGAGCCCGTTTGAAGCGTCAGAATTGTGACATGACCATGAATTACAGTATATCAGAATCATCATCATCATTGTGACATGACCATGAATTACAGTATGCTAGTGTTAGCATGTTGCGTAGTTTTCTTCACGCTGGCTAATAGTGGTACTGCAGCCAAAATGGGATTTTCAGGTGATGAATTGGGAAATTGGGAAAAATACATTTTAACAGAAGGCAGCAGTAGGTTTTTTTTAGCGTTTCCCTGCTGGTTATAAGTGTTACTGCAGCCAAAACAGGATTTCCAGGTGGCTGGAAAAGTTGAGAGATTAGCCTTTTTTTTAATATACAGTCTACGATCCTTTCATGGTGTATTTAACTACGAACTACTGACATGCCAATTCTGGCCCACAGACTGCACGTTTGACCACCCTGGTACTACACTCCTGATCCTGAACAACACTGTTTGAGGAGACAAGGAAAGAAAACAAACACAGATGGACTGTTAGACGTCCACTGTGGAGGAAAGACGATGAAAAGTCTGATTAAAAAAAAAAATTACATTAATTCAACAGTGAAAAGATCTAAAATGACAAAAGCTGCCGAGAGGCAACATGTTGCAACATGACCATAAAAGTTAATCTCCATAGTAACAAGTAATGATTACAAGCAGAGCGACTGTAAATGTGCAGATGGCTGATTAATCCCTAACAAATGAGGGCGTTCAAAAATATCATTTATCAGAAAAAAAAAAGATTATAAAACGTGGAGAAAAGAATGTTGCTGTTTTTAAAAAACTGTTCATTTCACCGTTGGCTCTTCTCAGGCTGGTTTCACCTCAGGTGTGAAAATTACATTAAATTAGATTAAATCTGGAGATTAAAGGTGCATCTTTAGACGCTTGGTGTTAGAAAAAATTTGGTTAAAAAATCCAAATCCAAATCCTTTTCTTACCAAAGGAAGAAAACTCATACATTAAACATGGCCAGGCTGCTTCACATTCAGCCCACACTGGTGGAAACACACCCACTGGAGAACATCTCATCACTTTCTGCTCTCCTCACACGTGTCGGTCAGCACGACTTACCCACACACACACACACACACGTCATGTTGAAGAAATTCAACTGTTCCTGTCTGCGTTCCACAGATCACCTGACCCGCTCAGACACTCGTGCAGCAAAACACTGCACTGCCCCCTCCCCTCTCACTCACCTCCTCCCCCCAACTCCCCCCTCTGAGTCCCACCGCCACTCCCTTCTTCCTCCTCTGCCCCAGCCACTGTAAAGCAGGAGGCTGTTTCCATGGTAACCAACACCATTAAACAAACCTCATCTGCTTTTATTCACTGTGATGAATGGGGAAAAAAAATATATTTATATATATATATATATTTTTACAAAAAGATAAAAATGAACAGGAACAAAGAATAAGAGCAGCCGGGTCGACAGTTCTACACCGCATGAACAGGAAGAGAGAAAAATACGTAATAAGTCTGAACGACACACGACCAAAATGTAGTAAAAGGTTTGACCTCTTTGACCTCCAGGTCCCAGGTCCCAGATATAAATATATATATACATATTATATATAGATATATATTGCAGATACTTTGCAGATTTACTAATAGCTAAGCAGACATGAGGTGTAACGTCTAAATGCTCCTTGTTAATTCAAATTCAAGAATACGCTATTTAACATATATATATTTATATACACATATTATGTAAATATATATATAAATATATGTGTGTGTATTAAGCTACAAGGCCACAAAATTATTTTTTTAAATCACTAAAATATGTGAATATCATTATATCACTGTATCAGAATTTTTCAACCATAATTTTTTTTTTTTTTAAGTCAGGGCAAATGTTAAATTTTAAATCACACCTGAATAAAAAAAAACCTGTTGAGATGAATGAAGATTTCTGCAGCAGGTTTTGATCTGGAGCCGTTTTTACCTGAAACTAAAAGAACATTTGAAAGGAACTGAAGAGGAAGCTGATGATGACATTTTCCACCATCATCTCAGGCCGTAGAGATAATGAAGGAACTCTTCAAGTCATGAGCGCGAACCGCGTTACTACCTGTTAGCTTCATTAGCATTATTTCAAAGAAGGCCGTTTTTTAATCAACGTCTCCTCAGAGTTATCAGGTTCATAAAGAACAAAAAGCGCCCGGCGTGTTTATTCAAATGAGATCGTCAATATCAGAGGACCGAGGGGGGGGGAGCGGGGGGGTAACACTGTGAATAGGTCAGCCCCGTATCCAAATTAATTGATTTTCTGAAGCTGCGACTGCTACAGGCACCAAGAACAAAAACAATTACTGAACTGAAGTGGAGCTCAGAGCTCAGCGTCTGACGAACGTGGTCGAGGCCAACGCTGACTGTGACTGTGGTTGTTTTTTGGTTTTGTTTTTTTGTAACCGTGAGGGGACGTTGGTGATAAAAGGCAGCTAAAAAAAGGAATTACCCAGGATCACCCTGGTGACGACACGTCAGCGTCAGCCGTGTGTGTTTATGGTCACAGATTTGAACCCACGGTCTATTTGTATTTCCTGGAAAGGCTTGTTTTCTTCATAACTCCTGCATCATTACCCTCTGCTCACCTACCAGCCCCACCCCCCCCTCACCCTCCTCACACAACTCTCTCTCTCTCTCTTTCTTTTTTCCTTTGAACTCAGTGCATCTCTTTCATCCCGTCCTCCACCTCCTCCTCGTCTCCATCCTCAGTGGTCCCTCCACACCCTGCTGTGAATCTGGAGGCTTTGCTGACTTTCCTCAAATCCCATCTCGAGGAAACATCAACATGAGGGGGTGGAGGGAGGGCGGGTGAGTAGAGGGGGAGGGGGG